TTACTGACGTAGCGCAGCGCGCCTTTCTTCACGTCTTGCTTGATGGGGTTGAGCGTCTCGCCGAGGCTGATCTCCATCTTGGCGTTGGTCCAGCGCGGCACCTCCACCACCATGTGCGCCAGCCGGCGAGCGCGGTCCGCCCACAGCGGGATGTCGTGCAGCGGCGACACGGGCCCGCTCTCGTCCCCTGCCACCACCACACAAATACATTATTCTACCATTTTGAACATAAATAAAGCGTTAAGCGAGATCTGAAGTGTTGCATAACTAGCAACGTGTATTTCGTTTTAGTATCTCTTAGTGGAGAATAAGAGGAAGCTGAAAATTAAAGTAAGTTCTCATTAAATAAAGTACAATCGATCCATTGTGTATCTCAATAACTGACCTTGTGTATGATTGTGTTTTTTTTTTAATTCAATGCAATGACGTCAGAAGGTCCTACTGTCACAGAATTGTATGTTAATTAATATAATTTACATCTGTGCATAAATAATAAAAGTGCATAAAAAAAAGGCTGTTTTGTTTTTTCGTATTCCAAATTTCATATGTACATTTATCCAACATACTTATGGTGAAGGAACACATCATGATGCAACTGGTATTATCAGCAAAGCAATTTAAAGATATTTGTTCGCCCCACATTAAACTAGGGCTATATATTTTATGTTGTTACTAAATAAAAGAAGAGTAGTTCTATATACAAGGTATTAACTTTGATATGAGATCTTTGCATGAATGGGCCGACCCGCTTGGTGCAATACCACAACCACACAGAAGACAGGAGTGAAGTGGGAGCAATTCCGTATTTTGACATAGAAAGAGGAAATATATTCTTTATGTGCATTTCATGCTCTGTCAATCAAGGGTAGGAAACACGTCTGTAACAACGAGTTCAGGTGGCCAGTTGCTCGCTTGCCACCTTATGATTTATAATGAACAAATATATACAGTCATAGGCAGTCAGCGATCAGTAGAGGCTGCAGATCATACTAAAAAGAGTGCTTCACCATCTACAATCTACAATACATTAAAATATTAATAAATTATTCTCTACTATAATTGTTTTCTATAATCTTATTGTCTTACTAATATATTAATCATATATTATAAATAAGAATGTTTAGAAGAATGGATGAATGTTCGTTACAGTTTGTAGCTTAAACGGCTGAATGGATTTCAATGAAAGAGGATAGTCTGGAAGAACACATAGGCTCACTTTTGTTTTTTTTAAATACCACGCAGACGGAGTCGCGGGCGAAAGCTAGTAATATTATAAATGTGAATGTTTAGAAAGATGTTTAACATAGCATGTACCCTAATCTTTTAGTTTAGTTATATTCTTTCCCACGGACAAAACAGTCTCTTTAGGTTCAGGTTTACAAATCAAAAGCAAAAATTTTGAAGTTGAGATATTTTGCGAATAAGAATTAATATTTATTTGTATTTATTTGGGAATCAAAAGGACTGGAAAGTGATCGTCCTCGATGGATGTGGACTTTCGAATTGTCCAATGTAAACTGATAAGAAAGTTTAAGGTCACCGCTAGATCAACACGTCATATTAATCAATTTTTTCAGACACGGAAGTAAAAGGCAAACCTTTAGCAATATAAAAATGTAAATGACTTTAACTTACTAAAGAAAACCCGATAGTCGGGTGCATAAGGTGATCCTCTTTCTTCAGCAATAAACATCTCGTCACGAACTTTTGAAATATAAACAACGGACGAACTGGATAACCCTCGCCTGCAGTAGCCGCTGCCAATAAGAACCTGTCTCGACAACGACACACACGACCTAATCGCAACGCGTGTTAGTGACATTTTACTATTGACAATGACACTTGACACTGACAATTAACAATTGCAGATCAAAGAGCATGTATACGTCGAAAAGTCAACCGAAAATCGACCTCCGTGATTTTTTTTTTGCAACTTTTTAATGCAAATCAATTGAGGAGAAATTGTGTTGAGAGGGTCTGAGTAAAAATAAATATCGCTAAAGAGTTGCTACTTTCTCCGTAAGAACGATATCAATTTTTAACGTGAATTTGGTCCCCACAAAACATTTTTTATTGCGAGTCCCAAAGGAGTCGTTTGTAAGAGATTGGGCTACAGCTATAACCTTTTAACACGCTATCCCAAAATGTGAAGGTCATCCTTCCTTCTTTCATGTGATGTTTTGCCCTATTGCCAAAGGTAGGTTTTCGAAGAGATTGTTTTAATAATATTTTAGTTATTTATTAAACTGTTACTGGATCTAAATTTTATTTCGAATTTGTATAGTTTTATGTGAGTTTACAAAACCAATCGTACCTTTAGTTCGAATACGAATACCGCCCGTTTCCTTTGAAATCACGTGTTTATTTCAGTGGCCTTGACGCCTGTGAAAATAGGATTGGGGCGGGACCATGTTATACATATTATTACGCAATGTTTAGTGCATCATCTCGCCACACATAGGTTCTGACGGGCTGTTAATCATTTTGAGTAATCTTGATTTCTCGATTTTTTTACAAGCAAGTCAAAAGCGAAGTCCTTGTGCGCTATGCGCTATTTGCATATCGAAATATGCGATTTTCGAGTTTCGACTTTCGAGTTTTCAATAAGCGATTTGCGTTATGTGCTATGCGCTATGCACTATGCGCTATGCGCTATTTGCATAACGCGATATGCGATTTTCGAGTTTCGACTTTTCGATAAGCGATATGCGCTATGCACTATGCACTATGCGCTATTCGCATAATGCGATATACGATTTTCGAGTTTTTGATAAGCGATATGCGTTATGAGCTATGCGCTATGCACTATGCGCTATGAGCTATTTGCATAACGCGATATGCGATTTTCGACTTTCGAGTTTTCGATAAGTGATATGTGCTATGCGCTATGCACTGTGCGCTATGAGCTATTTGCATAACGCGATATGCGATTTTCGAGTTTCGACTTTCGAGTTTTCGATAAGCGATATGCGTTATGCGCTATGCGCTATGCGCTATGCACTATGTGCTATGAGCTATTTGCATAACGGGATATGCGATTTTCGAGTTTCGACTTTCGAGTTTTCGATAAGCGATATGCGTTTGCGCTATGCGCTATGCGCTATGCGCTATGCGCTATGAGCTATTTGCATAACGCGATATGCGATTTTCGACTTTCGACTTTCGAGTTTTCGATAAGCGATATGCGTTATGCGTTATGCGTTATGCGTTATGCGTTATGCGTTATGCGTTATGCGTTATGCGTTATGCGTTATGCGTTATGCGTTATGCGTTATGCACTATGCGCTATGCGCTATGCGCTATTTGCATAACGCAATATGCGATTTTCGAGTTTTCGATAAGCGATATGCGTTATGCGTTATGCGTTATGCGCTATGCGCTATGCGCTATGCGCTATGTGCTATGCGCTATGCGCTATGCGCTATGCGCAATGCGCTATGCGCTATGCGCTATGCGCTATGCGCTATACACTATGCGCTA